CACATGAATCCCCTTGAAGTGCCCTTTTAAATTAGGCCACCTTTCTCCATCCATATCCCTGGTGCAGAAAAATCATTGATGACAGTCCTAATTAGCTATCCAATCCTACTCAAATTCCTTAGCTTAGAATTCAACAGAGGAAAAAAAAATCTAATGTCTATTGTTTGCCACAGTGAGTCTGGTCCCTTCTCTATACATCACTTCCTCCTCTTACTGTCACCTCTTCAGAACTCTGACCTGACCTTTACCCTCCCATCTCTGCTTATGAAAATTGCAACTGCTCTTCAGGGCCTCACTCACATGTTACATGTTATATGATCCCCTTGTTGATGACCTTAGCTATGTTGCACATCAACTGCAATAGTATGTATTGTCAAAAGCAGTTCTGGCCTAGATGCTGCCCTATGTACTCAACATTTTTGTGTCTTTCACAGTATCTCTCTCAAAGCACATGAATGTGTTATATAAAGATATGTTGGATAAAAAGATGAATAAATTACTACATGCCAGGTCTGCTAACTCTATGTTTACTGCTCTTTCCTTTCACTGTTCTGCCTTTGCCCTTGGTGTGATTCAAATGACTGTCACCTACTCATATTTAATGACAATTCCTAGCACTGTGTCTGGAACTGCATAGCCTAGTCTACAGACAGTTGGGGAAATTTCTGATTTCGAAGCAACTCAGAACCTCCTGCTTAGCAACTAGGAAGCTTCGCTTGGAGGGGGTCCCTTATGATGGTAGAAACCAAATTTTGGTTGTAAACTGAAAAGAAAAATGAGATCTCAGAAGTCAAGTATTGCTTTAAATCTTTGTTGCCATTGAGTAGACGAAAGCTTAAAGAAGTATTTCTCCTGTTAAAAAAAACTTTATCTTTGAAGAGCTAGTTTTTAGGGTATTTTGTACTTGTAAAGTTTAATCATAATTCAGTATGTAAAAAATCAAGCCTTGTGCCATTCTCATTAATTTCAAATCAAGTTCTATAGTTTGTCGTTAGAATTCTCTTAGGAGGAAAAGGTAGTTGTTTGCTATTAGTTTTTGCTTAATTTTTATGAAGAGCTTAAATACGTTAGTAATCTTTCTCAACAACCTAGGAAAATAAGTAGAAATCACTAGCACTATTAAAAGAACAGAGAGTTGGGGCCAAAATTCCTTGTGTTTTTTTTTGTTTTTAAGTTTTTTATGCTTATTTATTTTTGAGAGAGAGAGAAAGAGAGAGAGAGAGAGAGAGAGGACATGAGCAGAGGAGGGGCAGACACAGAATCAGAGGCAGGCTCCAGGCTCCAAGCTGTCAGCACAGAGCCCAATGAGGGGCTCAAACTCATGAAACGTGAGATCACGACCTGAGCCAAAGTTGGATGCATAACTGACTGAGGCACCCAGGTGCCTCCAAAATTCCTTGTTTTAACATGTTGTCTGCTGGGCACTACTCATAAGCATTTTATGTTGAGAAGGATGAATTATGGTAGGGCATTTATGTTCTGTTTAACAGATGAAAAAAACCACCCTTCTTATTTCTCAACTTGTATTTTTCTCAAGTCTTAAAAACTGTAAACTCATTAGGGAGAGGAGAATATCTTTGGTTTTCCCTAGACTGTTTCCCTAGTGCATGCTTTATATTTGGACTTCAAAAATGTTGACTGAAAGACTAAATTAAAATATTCGTCACATATACTTTGTCAGTGGGTATTCAAAGACAAGAATGATTCCAGGTATGAAAATGAGAAACGTGTGGAAATCAGCATTTTAGATGTGTAATGTAAGTGACTTTTAGTAAGGAACTCTGCCAATCTTCCTTCAAAATAATTAACATGCAAATTGGAATTCATATTTCATGCCAAAAAATGGTTGTTGTAAAGATGATTATTAGTGTGTGGGTGGTGTTTATGTGGCTGCACAGATGTGTTCAGAAACCTCTGATCTATGTGGCACTCTGAACAACGCAGCCTGTATTCACAGATGAATTATCGTTCACTCCCCTATTATCCTGTGCCACAATTGCATCTTGCATATTTAAACAGGTGTACCAATTTATCCAGAGAATTACATTTTTGAGAAACCAGCTTAATGAATTACTTTGCATTTTCTTTTTTTTTTTTAATTTTTTTTTTTCAACGTTTATTTATTTTTGGGACAGAGAGAGACAGAGCATGAATGGGGGAGGGGCAGAGAGAGAGGGAGACACAGAATCGGAAACAGGCTCCAGGCTCTGAGCCATCAGCCCAGAGCCTGACGCGGGGCTCGAACTCACGGACTGCGAGATCGTGACCTGGCTGAAGTCGGACGCTTAACCGACTGCGCCACCCAGGCGCCCCTGCATTTTCAATAAGTAACATTAATGAACTATCTAAACAAAGGATATACGTTTCCTGGTTAGCCATATAATTAAAGTTTCTCAGGGTGATTAAGTTATGAATTATTTTGAGAATCAAAATATCACACATATACAATGCATGCCTTATGCGAGTTACCAATTCACAAAGGACTATGTGAATAAAAGTATTTGAATGGTCTTTCTTATTTTGAGACTTAGGGAGGGGAGAGACACCTTTTCTTATTCTGGTAATATTTTTATCTAATCATTGAACAAAAAGAATTATAATCTTCTTTCCTATTTGATATTTTATTATACACATGAATATGTAACTGCATATAGCAATAATTGTCCGTTTTTGGAGAACCATTAGAAATTTGCTTCTGGATGTATTTCCATAACAAGCAAATAGGGAGAGGTCTGACTTCTTATGGAAGTTTCTTAGTCTTGTTCTGAAGTTTTCTACCAGATACTGGAAATAAGCTTACAAAGTTTTGATTTGTAGATCACTCTTCTTTTCTATTCATCTTTAAATTTTTTTAAATGTTTTTATTTATTTTTGAGACAGAGACAGAATGTGAGTGGGTTAGGGGCAGAGAGACAGGGAGACACAAAAGCAGAAGCAGGCTCCAGGCTCTGAGCTGTCAGCATAGAGCCTGATGTGGGGCTTGAACTCACGAGCTGTGAGATCATGACCTGAGCCGAAGTTGGACGCTCAACCGACTGAGCCACCCAGATGCCCCTATTCATCTTTAATATGAATGTTCAATCACCAAATTCCTTGGTTATTGGCTTAGAAAATTATGGCTTTTTCTGGAGTTGGGATATATTCTTGGGGGAGGATAAGGAGCGGGTTGGAGAAGGCCCTTATTTTACAGTCAGGCACATTTGGAATGCTAGCTCTGTCTTTTACTAGCTGTGTGACCCGTGGCAAATGATTTAACCTCTCTGCCTCACTTTACTCATGTGTGAACGGCTTCAAAGAGTTGTTTGAGGCACAGCTAGGTATTTTAGTAGTCATTAAGGCAAATGTTGTTCCATTCTTTCTTTTATCTATTAAAATTTCTACTGCAGTTTAGAACAAAATCAAAATAAAATGATCCCAAACAGATAAGACTAATCTAATAAAAATAAAGTATTTGATTCAAGTGATTTTCTTAACTGTAAGATAATTGTGTGGCTTGGAAAGCAGTTCCTTTGAAGGATGTCAGTAAACTATTGTTAAATAATTCATACTATGAATACACAGATATTTTTCATACTATTTGTAGAGAACTTTCCGTCTTAAAATATGCCTTGGTTTAGCTCTCACTTTCTTTTCATTCCACTTACCTCATTTTTCCAGATACCCATATTTTCTGGAGAAAAGCTATGGTAGGGTTGAGAGGACAGTTAGAATCATCTAACAAGAGGTGCAGGAATCTGAAAGCTTAATGTCTTACTTTTACCACTCTATAAAATGGAAAACTTCCTTTTGTTTAACTTTCCCTTCCTTATGGGTAGGAAGGATGGACTTCATCCTTCATCCTTTCCAATTCTGATCTTCCATTCAGTACTTCAACTCTGGATCCTTCTGTAACAGTGGAAAAAAATGTATCTAATTTAATGCTAGATCCAGTAGATCTAGAGTCCATTTGGCAGGTGGGATGGAGTGTAAATCACTACTGGATGAAAGAAAAGAGATAATGTTTTAGATTTGGGACCCTGATACTTAACTAGGCATTTGCATAAAGCCAGGAGAATCAACTGACCAAGAAATATGGATCTGAGATGACTAGCAAAGAGCTTCCTCAATCTAAGAAGACGGGCCAGCATGATGCCATGATGCATGGTGGTGTACATCTTTTTTTTTTTTTTTTTTTTTTTTTTTTTTTTTTTTTTTTTTTTACCTTGTCACCCGAGGCCTTCAGCTTCAGACCTGGTCACTCTTCCATTGTTCTGTTTCTCTCCTGCTCCCTTCTTATTTCTCCCTTAACACCTGCTAAAATGTAAGAACTTGTCAGGGCACATTTGACATAACACCAAATGTCTTCTATTATCTTGTTTTTCCCCTGAGTTCTAGATTTCCCTCTCAATTCCTCCATTTCCAGTCCTTCCAATTTCCATTTCAAGCTGTGAGTACTCCCTGGAGAATTTATTCTGTAGCATGCAATTTTTTTCTAGGACTGGATTTTCTTTCCTCTTCTTTCATCCTGGGTGCCACCTCTTTGGCTGTCTCCGTCTCTAATCTTCTCCCATGTAAACGCTTAGCCCATGTGTGCTGTGTCACTCAGTAGGCCTGGGTTCCAGTCCAGACCCTCACACAGGCTTCTGACTTGGACAGTTCTTTGTTCTCTCAAAGCCTCATGTGAATAGAAAATCTACATCTTGAGGATGTGGTAAGGACAGAAATGGAAATTCAATGCCAGAGGGCTCTTTCCTGCCTAAGGCTATGCTGGAGTAATGCTGGAGTATTGCAGAGCTACTGATATCTACATTCAATAATCTGAGAAACTTGGGAAGAGCTTCCAACCCATTTCCATCAGAAAATCTGTATTCAGGGAATAAGACTACTGGTCCACTGAGGTGAACCAGTCCAAGCTGGTCTCTGCCCATTTAACAGTCGGACCACACTTACAAACTTCTCTCTCTTAAATGACCTGCTTGTGTCCTCCAAGAGAATGTGAACTGTATGCTGTCTTTCTCCAGTTTGAACTTCAGTGGATGCTGATCCACTGTGACCCACTACGCCCGAGGAGAGAAACCTGCCATGAACTGCCAGCTAGGATAACTGTGAGTCATTTGACCACCTGCAAAGGTCACTGCCACCCAGCCTACCTCTCACCACCTCCTCAAACACCCCACCTCCTCATTCTTTTTCTAAAGAGTTCAGGCTTTACTATACAGACCAGATAAATTTCAAGGAAGCACAGGTCCCACCCACAGCCTGGCAAGTACAAACTACCTCGGGGGTGTCTGGTTCTACTTTTGGTGGCTTACGACCCTCACTCCTCCTCCCCAAACACCTTTCCAAGAACCCTTGAGGTCCGTTCGCTGCCCACAGTGGACCGGGAGAGACTACACTTGGGCAGACCCGCAGAGGCAGAGACAGAGGCAGAGGCACGCATTCAGGCCTTGCCAGTGAGGCGGCGGGGAAAGGGTTAAGGGGGACTGTTGTCATTCTATCCGTCCTCCAGCCGCAAGCTCTCCTCCAATCCCCAGGACCCTCTCCATAGCCATTCATAAACAGGAGTAAAGTACGCCACCCGGGCCAGGCACCTTAGCAAAGACTACTCCTGGGGGCGCTTTTTTTGTGTGTGGGGGAGAAGTGCCACTTAATGCGTGTGACGGGTCCGGAAGCCTAGCGGGGCGGCAGGAGACACAGTCCGTGCAGGGGATTAGCAGAGGGTGGCGGGCATGGCCTGGACAGCAAGGGATCGAGGGGTCCTAGGACTGCCACTGCTGCTGTCTGGGCTCTGCTTGTGCTTGGCTCAAGTAAGTTGTGTGCGAGTTTGGGGGGTGGGGAGAGCCTTCTCACTTTCTCCCGGTCTTTTCCTCTCCAGGTCATCGAGACCACCGACCAGGTAAGCGGAGGGCGAGATGTGTTTGCAATTTTCAAGTGCACGCAGGGAAAAGTGGAGGAGCAGCCGTCGCGGGAGGTGTGGGGAAGGCGCAGAGCTTTCCCTGGGCTCTGCAGCCGCGTTCTTCCCGCAGCCTTGAGCACCTGCAGCGAGTACCCTCGGAGTCGGGGACCCTAATGACCCTCCGGTCATCTAGGAAAGGCGTCTCCTCCTCGACTGGGCCCCAACACTGCAAACAGAAGCTCTGAAGGCCATGACTTGAGACCGGGGTTTAATTGTTAGCCTGGCTGCTTCTTAATTCCCCCACCCCGCCCCTCTAGGACGCAGTCAAGGGCAGGCCTTGCTGGAGAAGGCGGGAATTCAGGCTAGCTGCGCTAAAGCTCCCTCTCCCGCTCCACCAGCCGGTGGTGGCAGCACTAAACCGCGAGTCCTGCTAGCGGTGCCCGCCGCGCTGGGATTGGAACCGAGCGGCCATGGCTGGCATCAGTCAAAATTTCAGCAATTTCCCGAAGGCTCTGGCATCTCCTCCCTCCCGCCGGGAGAGGACCAGGCGGGGGCGGGTGAGCCCAGCCGAGGTTTGAGGTTTCACTTACAAAGACCTCATTGTAACCTGTCTGGTCATTGGAGTTTAGAAAAACAAAGTTTTCCTTGATGAAAGAAGCTCCCCCCTCCCACACTTTCTTATTCTTTTAAATTAGAAGAGAAAAAAAAATTCCCACATTCCCTAAGCTACATGCTCATACTATTTTCAGAAGCCAGTATTCCCTCTAGCACTATCAAAGCTTAGCTGTTTGCAAGCTGTTTAGCGTCAGTCTCAAAGTTGGTGTAATTTTAAAGCAAGGTGCAATGACCTTATGCAAGAACAGTGTCACTGCAGGTAAATCTGAAATGAGGCCAGGCCCTCCCTGGGTTTCAATGCTCTTTTGCCCCACTCCTCCCCAGTTTTCCTCTAGTATTCCCCCCCCCCCC